ATTTCAGTTAATATTATTTTATTACATTTCTCAGCCTACTACTCCTTCCGCCCCGCTAAAATTATCTTTTTTGTGAGAAATCTTACTAAGATTATCTCATATCAAATTTGATAAAATTTGTATGGTTCCAAATCATTCTTACTTTATTCTTACTTTATGAATTCAATATCAACCATATAAACTTATTTTTCCTAATAATTGTGCCGCCCTATTATGTCTCAATATTAGTGGGACGAAGGTGATATACTTTAGGGAAAATTCCAGAAACAGGAGTAAAAAATCTAAAATATAGGGTTGTCATGTTTTTATTGTCGAAATATGAGTAATTACAGTCAAGTTTGGAAAATATTGTCATGTTTAAAGTCAGATACTGTCAAAATATGACAATAATTAATCATATTTTGGGAATAAAATATAATAGTCATGTTTTGGAATTTGCGAACAATTTTAGTCCTATTTAGAGTAATTTCCATATATTTTAAGACTTTCTCACATCTTTTACCCTTGAGTTACACTACTCATTGTTCATATAGATTATTTTTTGAAATAATGACTCAAATATTACTTCACAACTTTCATTAGACAAAAATATAACTAAATTAAGGCCGGACAAAAAAGTAACTGAATTACTACATCCCAATCTCATGTTCCGCTCTTTCGTTGCTGCGCTCAAAGCCAAGGGACTCCGACTAGATCGACACATCAGATTGCAGGCCATCGCCATCAGATGATGATGCTTCCTCCGCTACCTTGACCATCACCGCCATCGTCTCCTTCCGCAGACAGAACGGACAGATTGTCTCCATCGCCTTCATCCTCACCCATGCCTCTCCCTACTGTGAGAATAATGGGAAAAGTTACTCCCTAAGGAGCCCTGACAGATATATTTATATTAAAGAGAGTTTAATGTAAAGTAAAATACTAATCCTCTAATAATTCTATTACACCCCCTCAAACTGTGCGGGAGATACAACGCGCAGGTTGTCTTTCAAAAAATGAAAACGTTGACTAGAGAGACTTTTAGTAAAAATATCTGCCAGCTGTAGATGAGTAGGAACATGCTTAACAATCAGATCTCCATGAGCAACCCGTTCGCGAACAAAATGATAATCAATCTGAATATGTTTACTGCGAGCATGCTGAACTGGATTTGCAGTCAAGTAAGAAGCAGATATATTATCACATAATAAATGTACCGGCTCTGAGATAGGCCATCCAAGTTCGAACAGTACTGATCGGATATGTAGTGTGTCTTGTACTGTGTAAGCAATGGCACAATATTCCGCTTCTGTGGAGAACTTGGACACAGTAGGCTGCTTCTTAGTCTTCCAGGAAACCAGATTAGGTCCCAAAATTACAGCAAAACCTGTGGTGGACCGAGAACTATCAGGACAACCTGCCCAATCTGCATCGGAGTAAGCAACTACACAGGTTGGCCGATTAGACCGCTGAAGCCAGAGACCATGATCTCGTGTTCCCTGCAAGTACCTGAAAATTCTCTTGACTGCAAAAAGATGAGTAGTACGAGGAGCATGCATGAACTGAGGCACTAAGTGTACTGCATAAGTAATATCTGGCCGTGTCAAAGTTAAATATTGTAATGCACCAACCATGCTGCGATACTCAGTAGAATCAGACAATAACTCACCATCAGAAAGAGACATAGTGGTACGAGAAGCTAACGGGTGCGAACAGGCTTTACAGTATGAAGATGAAAATGAGCTAGAAGGTCAGTAACATATTTATGTTGAGAGAGAAACATACCTTTGGCTGAACGAATAGCCTCGACATCCAGAAAATAATGGAGATTACCCAAGTCTTTCATAGCAAAATGTTTAGAGATAATTGAAATAAATTGGGTAACAGATGATTCAGAATTGCCAGTAATAATAATATCATCCACATATAGTAATAAATAAATAATAGTATTATTCTGGCGGTATATGAACAAAGAATTGTCAGATTTGCTACAGGAAAAATTATGTTGTAAAAGAAAGCTACTAAATCTATGAAACCAGGCCCGTGGAGCTTGCTTAAGGCCATAAAATGGCCTTGCGCAGACGACATATATGATTAGGAAATTGAGGGTGAATAAAACCACGGGGCTGCCGCATATAAACTTCTTCTGTCAGATTACCATGTAAGAAGACATTTTTAACATCAAGTTGTCGTATACCACACCCAAAAGAGATAGCTAGAGTAAGTACAATACGAACAGTGGTGGGTTTTACGACAGGACTAAAAGTTTCAGAGAAATCAATACCTGCCTGCTGATTAAAACCCTGTGCAACTAATCGAGCTTTATGGCGCTCTAAGGATCCATCAGAATGATATTTAGTTTTATAAATCCACTTACATCCAACAATATTCTTAGAGCTATCAAAGGGCACCAAGTCCCACGTATTATTATTAATGAGTGCATTAAATTCATCAGCCATCGCCTCACACCATTTTAATTGTTTATTTGCCTCAGTAAAACAGGTAGGATCTGCAGAGGTAATAACCGTACTTAAATTAAAAATGGTTTTAGGCTTAAAAATTCCTGACTTAGCACGGGTTTGCATGGGATGGTGGTTAACTACCGTAGTGGACGTAGGTGAGGTGGTTTCGGGTGAGACATTGTCGGCTGAGGCTGTCTCTGGCGTGCTGGATGAAGTATGGGAGGAGACAGGTGATGGTGGCGGGCTGGTTGTGGACGTGGGGAAGGATGTATGGGGCGATGGTACAAACGGAGTGGTAGGAGTAAGGGGTGACCTAGGTGGCGATGGGGGGGGGGGGGGGGGGGGTGCGGCCGTGATTGTGGGAACAGACTCGGCAGGTGGGTCAAGAGTGATATCGGTGAGATTCATAGGAGATGGTGTAGTAGAAATAGAATGGGAAGGATCAGACGAGAGGGTTTTAAAAGGATATGTGTCCTCATGAAACCTAACATGGCGGCTAACATAGACTCGACCTGTGAAAGGATCCAAACAACGATAGCCTTTATAACCAGATGCATAACCAAGAAAAACACACTGAACTGAACGAGGTGATAATTTATTGGCTGAGGTGGCTGAAAAATTTGGATAACAGGCACAACCAAATACTCGCATAAAGGAGTAATCCGGAACACGGTTAAAAAGTTTTTGGTACGGAGAAAAGCCATTTAAGGTAGGAGAGGGTAATCTATTAATAATATATGCAGTAGTGAATATGGCATCGACCCAATAGTAACTCGGAACCGAAGCTTCAAGAAGCATAGTCCGAGTTAACTCAAGTAAATGACGATGCTTGCGCTCAGCAACCCCATTTTGTTGAGGTGTGTCAGGACAAGATTTTCGAAAATAAATGCCATTAGCAGAAAAAAATTGCTGCATATTATTATTAACAAATTCACCTCCCCCATCACTTTGAAAAATTTTAATTTTCTGATTAAAAAGATTTTCAACCAAAGCTTTAAAAATTTTAAAGTGCATAAAAACTTCACTTTTGTGACACATGGGATATATCCAAGTATAACGAGAAAAATCATCAATGAAATACACATAATACTTGAATCCCAAATTTGAATACACAGGTGACTGGCACACATCAGAATGAATAATTTCCAAAGGAAAAACAGAATTATGACTAGCATCCATAAAAGGCAAACGTTGTGATTTTCCTAAACGACAAGCCACACACTCATGAGTAAAGGGAGTATGACTACATAAAAATTGTTTTCTCTTAAGAAACTGTAAAATACTATCACCACAGTGACCTAATCTACGGTGCCACACAGGGCCAGAAGCTAAAATGGAAGCAAAAACTAATGGTGATGATGTCGGCAGATGGAGAGGATAAAGTGGCCCACTATTGGTAGCTCGCAGAAGTATTGCCCCCGTTGCTTTGTCCTTAATCAAAAAAAAAATTATGAAAAATTAGAGTACAATTATTATCAGCACAGAGCCTTTTAATGGAAATTAAATTATATTTTAACTGAGGCACATGATAAACAGATTTTAAAGTGAGAGCCCTGACAGATATATTTATATTAAAGAGAGTTTAATGTAAAGTACAATACTAAGCCTCTAATAATTCTATTACCTACACACTTCTTCCTTTTCTTCTCTTTCTACCAGGTTGTGAGATTGTGAATCGGATTCCGCCGTCGACGTTGGAGGAGCTGAAGTTGCCGCTGGTCGATCTATTCGATTCTGCGGCGGCGAACTTCTACAGATCCAGCTCCAATCGGTGACTGTGAAGTAGGCGATTATGTCAATCGGCGACTGTGGAGGTGGCGGCTAGGGTTGGTCGATGGTTTATCCGGGTCGGGGATAGGCAAATTAGTTCTAGATCGGAGTTGTGGAGGGCTGTGGCGGTTGGGGAGAGGGTCAGTGTTTGGAAGTAGGGTTGTAGCTGGACGAGGGAGGGGAGGGGACTACGGAAGGCGCAGGTGCAGGGTAATGCTGGCCGGAAGCACCGGGCAGTGGGCTGGAGGTCAATGGGATTGGGGTGCTTGAGTGTGAGGCTTGTGGTTGCCGGGGGCTACAGTGGCGGTGGCCGCCGGAGAAGTGCAAGGGAGAGATGTCACAGATGGGGGTGGTTGCTCACTATTGGGCGGCGACGAGTCATTGACGGTGGTGTAAAGTTTCGCCGGAAAAAGGTTGTCGGAAAATTTTCCGACAGTTATAGTGACATGTTTCACGGCAATAGTGACATGTTTTACGGCAACAGTTACATTAAAAGTGACATAAATATCTGATAGTAACATATAATAGTCACATAAAAATATGATAGTGACATAAAAAATACAGTGACATAATGTTTTTCCAAATATGTGACTTTTTAGTAATTTTTTTGTCCTTTTATAAAAATGGTCACATTTTTTAAAATCACTTTGATTTGATAATATTCAAGGAAAAAGCCCTTATTTTTTTCTATAATTAAAATAATATACTGAGAGGGAATACATAATGAATAATAATATTACAGAAAAACCTCCCATTAAATACTTTCTCTTATATTGGTGCTAGTATTTCGGAGCGAAAAAAAGCAGAGTCACACCACTATTTAACCACTCATTGGCTCCAGTTCCCTGTCCGACATTATTGTAGAACTGATGATAATGAAGAGTATGGAAGTTGACAAGCTTGGTTTTGGTAAAAGATCGTACATGTATAATCATCTTCTTTAGGGAGACTACTCAGCTCTTTCTGTCTGTACATTCGTTTCAAGTAGTACTCGACGGTGGCAGAATTGTTAGCAGCGACAACCTCTGTTTAGCTTGTGAGCCTCTTTTTACCGGTCGTATAAACTCACTTTAGTTGTTTCTTGAGCAGTTTGGTTTATAGTTTTTTCTGTTCTGGTTGTGCCTTTTGTTCATGGATATTCTCATGAATTCGATGTGTGTGGGTTGTGAAACCTGGTATATATATTGCGAGCGCATCCTTTAAAACTTTTATTGCATCAATTTGGCTCAGGGTACCTTAATTGGGGGATTTATATTGCTTTTTGTGATGATGGGCAGTTCATCTACTTGCCAAATTAAGAATAAGAATGATAATGGGCAGTTCATCTTCTTGCCAAATTAAGAATAAGAATGATGATGGGCCATGTTGTAAGGAAATTCTTTGGAAAGTCCCCAAACACTCTTTTACAGTTTCCAGTTTCCCATGCTTCCTACATCTTCGTGCAACATAATATATGAATGTGATGTAAACCTGACCTCTTGCGTATCCTTTTAATATGAAACTGTGAATTATGCCAAAATATGACACGTTTTTTATTGTTTGACACGTTTTTTTATTTCCATCATTTGCAATGGAGCCAAAGATTCACTATTTTTTGGCTTGAGAATATGATGGAACAAAGCAAAATGGCTCACTAAACTGTCTGCGCTTCTTTATTGTGAAGCAAGCAGTCAGTCCATGTATTTTTCGACTCTATTTTCACTATGGGTCATTCGGAAACAGTCTCCGTGCTTTAGTACATGGGTAAGATTGCGTACATCCGACCCCCCTTACCCCACCGTAGGTTGGAGCCTTTGCGGCACTGGGGTAATGATGATGATGATGATGATGATGAAGTTTGTTCATGTTTAAATCTATGTTCTTACACTTGCCACATTTTGTTTGTAAGAGTTTGAAGCTGCTGGTGTGGAGATTAGTACTAGTCACTAGTTGGAATTTGTCAGTATGGTCAGGACAAAAACTGTTCAGGTGTTTGGGTTCCCTCATCTTGTAACTGCAAGTGATGCTAAGAGATGCTTTGAAAGGTATACTGGTGTAAGTTCTGTGTATGCCATAGAGGTAAAGATGGCTAAAAATGGTGGAAGAGCATATGCTAAGGTCCAATTTGATAAAACCACCAGTGCAGAACTAATTATAGCTCTAGCCAGTCAAAAGAGATTGTACTATGGCTCATCTTACTTGAAAGCTTGGGAACTAGATGCCTATATTGTGCAACCTAAATCATACATCCATAACATGAAAAACACAACTCTATGCTTTGGGTGCCAAATATCAGATGAATGGTTTTACAGGTTATGTAGATTGGAAGATGTTTCAATAGAATTTGGATATGGGTTGAAGAAGATACGCTTCTTTCTATCATATCGCTCTGTCCAATACAAGCTTCAACTTTTTTATGAACACATTTGGCAGATCATGCTGTATAGATCCCTGGCCCAAAACGTTAAATATCTTGTCATACAGGTTTGCATATGAACCCCTTTATTTTCCTCTATTTTTATTTTATTTTATTTTAATGTCTCTGGGGACCTTGTTCTTGTAGACTTGTCATATTAGTATTGGGTTAATGGAGGTACAACGGAATAATGTTATTAACTCCACTTGTAAAGTCTACTATGCTATGCATATTATAGACTTAATTTCCTAAAGGGGACTAAAACAATGAGGAGGTGCGCAAATAGGACTTTCATGTTTCATAGGACTAAAAATGAACTCCCTTGACAATTTCAGGACCCGAGGGCAATTTTGGAAAGTCAACTTTTTTTCGATCCTACCTAAAAACCCGTGAAGTCAAACTTAATTTCGGGACGGTGTGTGAGTGTGCATGTGCGGGTGTGACTGTGTGCGTGTGCGCGCCAGCACGCCAATCTTTTATCCCACCGCCCCCAACGTGTGTTGGGATTAAGGTGGTCATGATAAATTGATAATCATTGTTATAAACATTTGTATATTTCTTCTGCCTTGTAAGTCCTAAGTTTTTCACAGAAGTACAATTTCCCATTTTCATGTCTCATTTCTTGCTTCATGGACTCCGTTGAGTATATGACATAAACTCATGTTTGGAGAAAGCTAGTCTTCTCTACCATCATGTGCTTAAAAGCTAATATTATTTTCATTCATTTCTGCATGATCATTAAATGAACGATACACATTGATTGTTAAACCTATAAAAGGTAAAAAGGCTTGGGTTTCAAAAGGAGAAGATTCACAGCTGCTGGATATGACATTAATCTCCTTTCTTTAATAACATTGTTTTCAATACCTCTTTTTAGTTTTCATTAATATACATTTCTGTTACATACAAAATCTAGTTTTGGATAAAAAAGTAATGGTAATTTACATTGATAGCTGGTATACATAGGAACTCATTCAGCTATTATTTATTTGCATACATCGTCTGGCTGCTTCAGTTATTTGCCGCTCCACGGATCTACAAGAAAACAGAAGAAGACTCCATCTATAGCTACTTCCAGGAAACTCCAGATGATCAGTGGGTGAGGACTACAGATTTCACCCAAAATTTGATTGGGCAATCTTCTAGCTTGTGTTTGGAGCTTCCTAAAGGTGTCATATTACCAGATTTTCATAATAATTTTGTCTTCTATCGTGAAACTGAAAGTCAATTTGTTATAGAGCCCGGTTTACGGTTTTCTAGCAATATGGATCTAGTTCCAATCATCCATCCTCCACAAGGAGATGCATTGCCATTCAAGTTGGTGTTTAAGATTTGCAGTTTGGTGCAACATGGATGCCTTCCGGGTCCCGCGCTGAATGCCAGATTTTTCCGCTTGGTTGATCCAAGGTATGTAAACATTGATCACATTGAAAATGCCTTGGAGAAATTGTACTATATGAGGGACTGCTGTTATGATCCAGTGATGTGGCTGACTGAGGCATACCGTAATTTCAAGCATCCTCCAAAATCCGCTTCTATAAATCTAGATGATGGATTGGTTTATGTAAGGAGGGTCCTAGTGACTCCAACAAGGGTTTATTTTTGTGGTCCCGAGGTAAATCAATCCAATCGTGTGCTGCGCCATTACATTAAGGACATAGATAATTTCCTCCGTGTATCTTTTGTTGACGAGGAGTGGGATAAAATCCAATCCATAGATCTATCTCAACGTGCAACGGGCAAGACAGACATTTATGACAGGATACTTTTGACACTAAAAAATGGTATTGTTATTGGTGATAAAAGGTTTGAATTTCTTGCATTCTCATCAAGCCAGTTAAGAGAGAGTTCCGTTTGGATGTTTGCATCAAGATTTGGACTTACAGCTACTGACATAAGAGAATGGATGGGCAACTTCAAAAAGATAAAAAATGTTGCGAAGTATGCTGCAAGACTTGGTCAATCCTTTGGTTCATCCAGAGAATCTGTTAGTGTTCACAAGAGTGAATTTGAAATTGTTCCCGACATAACGATTCTAGGGCAAGGGGCAGAATATAACTTCTCCGATGGGATTGGAAAAATATCTGCAGACTTTGCTGAAAAAGTCGCCAAAAAATGTGGCCTGGAAAGGTTTGCCCCATCTGCTTTTCAAATCCGCTATGGTGGATTTAAGGGAGTCGTTGCTGTCGATCCTTCTTCGTCAAAGAAATTGTCATTAAGAAAAAGCATGTTGAAATACGAATCAGACAATGTAACACTTGATGTTTTGGCATGGAGCAAATATCAACCTTGTTATCTAAACCGCCAATTGGTATCACTCTTGTCAACTCTTGGTATCAGAGATGAGGTCTTTAAGAGGAAGCAAAGAGAAGCCGTTGCTCAATTGAACGAAATCCTCACTAGTCCTGCAAAGGCAGCTGAGGCTCTTGAGTTAATGGCTCCCGGAGAAAATACTAACATCATTAAAGAGATGCTCATGTGTGGCTACAAGCCTGATGCTGAACCATTCCTTTCGATGACTTTACAAACATTCAGGGCATTTAAGTTGCAAGATATAAGGACCAAGGCACGGATATTCGTACCCAGTGCCAGATCTATGATGGGTTGTCTAGATGAGACCAGAACATTGGAATATGGTGAAGTATTCGTTCAGTATTCAGGTGCTGGGAGGAGACAGTCTCTTGTTGGTGCTCCCCATTCCAATGAAACCAAAGATTGTAATTACATCGTCACAGGAAAGGTTGTCGTTGCAAAGAACCCATGCTTACATCCTGGTGATGTTCGTGTTTTGAGAGCTATTGATGTGCCCTCGTTGCACCATATGGTGGACTGTGTCGTTTTCCCCCAAAAAGGGAAGAGGTAATCCAAACTTCTACCTTCGGCATCATTTCTCTTTCTGTTTTAAAATTGTTTTAAACAATTCTGAATTTTAAAATGATTTAATTGTAACTGTTAAAACCTGACCGAACTTTGAGAATGGGTCGAGTGTTTTAATAAAAGGAACACAAAGTAAATTTAGAAAAGGTTTTTCATTTAGATTTTTTCATCTAGGCTTTATTGATTCTTCTAATTATGTTATTTTACTCATATATTTTTGGTATGTGCTGGTTAATTGTTTAAAATTTGGAGATAGACCCCATCCAAATGAATGTTCTGGAAGCGATTTAGATGGAGATATTTACTTTGTGTGTTGGGACCAAGATCTCATTCCGAAGGAAATGAAACCAGCGATGGATTATACCCCTGCTCCAAGCATGGAATTGGACCATGATGTAACAATTGAGGTACACATTGTTGTGCTATACAAAACCTATGTTGCGTATGCTATACTTATTTTCCCTTTTCAATGCATAGTTTACACTTTTTTTCCATCATTTGCAATGGAGCCAAAGATTCATTATTTTTTGGCTTGAGATTATGATGGAATAAAGCAAAATGGCTCACTAAATTGTTTGCGCTTCTTTGTTATGGAGCAGCAGTCAGTCCATGCAATCTTGGACGCGATTTTCACTATGGGTCATCCGGAAACAGTCTCTCTGTGCTTTAGTACAGGGGTAAGACTGCGTACATCCGACCCCCCCTTACCCCACCATAGGTGGGAGCCTTTGCGGCACTGGGGTAAATGAAAATGAAAATGAATGCATAGTTTACACTGGGGTAATAATTTTCTAGTATACTATTACTTCCGTCCCAAATTGAAAGGTACTAGTTTAACATACCTGTTTCTCCATGTCTATCTTGACCATTATTATATACAATTATATTGTTCTAAATTATAATAAATTAATATTTTCAAATTACAAATTAAAACAAATTGCTCAACAGTACTTTTTAGTTGTAAAGTAATATATAAATTATAAAAAACAGAGGTAAAATTGGCATTTCCACTTTTCAATCAAGGGAATACTATGTTCTTGAACAAGTTAATGTACACTCATTTTGATTGGCTAGCTAGATTTTTTAAATGGAAGATGCTTATGCAATCATCTAGTAGACCACAATTGTGAACAATAGGATCATCACAAGGTACAACTTGTCTTGTTCTTGCGTCTGCTTTGTATCATCTTTGATGCCACGCATCCACCATTTAAGTCTACTATTGAGTTTCTATTTGAAAAATAATCGCTCTGCAGGAACTTCACAAGTATTTTGCAGACTACATTGTGAATGACAGTTTAGGCATTATTTCAAATGCCCATGTTGTGTTTGCGGACAAAGAAGATAAGATGGCAATGAGTGAACCGTGTCTAGAACTTGCAAGGCTCTTCTCTATTGCAGTTGACTTCCCCAAAACAGGTGTTCCTGCTGAGATACCTTCCCACCTGCGCGTCAAAGAATATCCCGATTTCATGGAAAAGCCCGCTGAAAAGACAAGCTATGATTCTTCAAGAGTGATAGGAAAGCTATTTAGGGAGGTCAAATATATCACTGCACAGCTAAGCTCTATCACATCCTTTACGATAGAAGTTGCGAGAAAATCATATGACCCTGACATGGAAGTGGACGGGTTTGAAGACTTCACTGAAGAAGCTTTTAATTGTAAAACTCGTTATGACTTCAAGCTGGGCAATCTAATGGACTATTATGGAATAAAAACCGAGGCTGAAGTGTTGAGTGGCGGTGCTATAAAGACTTCAAAATTCTTTGACCGCAGAAGGGATGCGGATGCGGTTAGTTTTGCTGTGAGGGCCTTGAAGAAGGAGGCAAGGTCATGGTTCAAGAAAGGAAGTGAGTCTGGCGAGGACTTATTGGCAAAGGCATCAGCTTGGTACCATGTCACTTATCACCATACATATTGGGGTAGCTACAATGAGGATATGAACCGAGCCCACTACATCAGTTTCCCATGGTGTGTCTATGACAAGCTTAGTCAGATCAAGAGGGCCACAACGGGAAATAGGGCACTTCATTTGACATCGATTGAACAGCGGTTCAGCAAAGGCTTGGCATTGGCCTGATGTGGTGCGGTTTCCATCTTCTAAACTGTTCATGCTGTGGTCATGACTCCTCTAGGCTAATCTGCTTCACTTTAATTTATCTGCAACAAACGACTCTGTAAAGTTTAATATGCATTTTGGGTGTTTGGATGTAAGTAGAACTTTTTGCATTGTTTTTGGTTTTTTGGTTTAAATATATTTTTAGTACCTACAAATATATTACTCCGTACATTTTATTCACTTCCCGATTGCAATAATTTATTTAATTTTATTGAAATTTTTTGGACATAATTGACACTTCATTAATAAAATGGTCACAAAATTTCATCAAAAAGTTCTACCCAAAAGAATCTCAAATGGAAGCGGTCGGACGGTAGTTCCGTTTCGCCATCCCGAAAAGGTTTGCTAATTTGTCTTTTCTAGGTTAATAGTAATCAATTTTGGACCAATGATATTTTTTTAAATAAAATTATTTTGAGTATGAAAATTATATTAAAATGTTTCTTATTACGAGTATTTTCATAAAAGTATAATATTTATTAATTACATATAAATATAATAATTAAAATCATCTTTCAAAATTTGTCATCATTGTTCAAGAAAAGTCAATATGAAAACCTATGGGTGGACTCAGTTCCGGACTCCCGGTTGGTCTCGGTTTTGGTCTTGGTCTCTCGGGCTGGTCGGTATCGGTTTTGGACCGGCCGGTCTCGGTAAGTGGCAGGAGATGCCCAGGTCTGACCCGATTAAATCTGGGTTTGGTCGATTTCGAGTACCAAGGCAATCCGGTTCCTATACTAGGCTGGACATGGTCCCTTTCTATTTTCTTTTTCTTTTTCAAGGTTAAAAAAAGTTGGTCCGTCCGGGACTAGAACCTCCCGATTTTGTCCCCAAATGAGTGAATCAGGACCGGGATCGCTTGATACCTGGTCGGGTAATTGGTCCAGTACCAGGATCGGTTTTACGGACCAGATCTAGTTTGGTCCAGCACAATACCAGACCTGGTTCTGGACCGGGTCCACCCCTATGAAAACATTTTGGGATGGAGGTAGTATTATACTCCCTCCGTCCTTTAAAACTTTGTCATCTTTCCTTTTTGAGACGTTCCAAAAAACTTTGTCACTTTCTCTTTTAATCAATCATTTTGTGGTTTCTGTTATTTCTCTCTCCTCTGCACAAACCTCAATCACACAGTTTTTACTTTATAATTATCCGTGCAGGTCAACTTTGGTAAAGTTTTAAGGGACGGATGTAGTATATTAGTTGTCCATTTACATATCTATCATTGTTAATAAATACTCATCTTGCATAATGGAAAAGGCATTCGTTGAAAATCACGATTTACATTAATTGAGCATCAATGTAATTGTATTGAGCATCAGTGCTATTTTGTTGAATATTAGGAGTTTAATATCGAACATCATGATCTTTGTTTCATCATATATTCATATTATATAATTCACTTTATTTTCTTGTTTTTCTTTCATGAAATTTTCTTAAATTACATCTATAATTAAATCTAATGGATTCAAATATACAAATCTAATTATATATTATACTTTTGAAATATGTATTGATATAAAAATCATAAACTCCACTAGTTGAGCATTAAAACATTTTAATTGAATATCAAACCTTCTTTTTTGAGTGAGACTATGTTATCAACATCTTCATTGAGCATTGGAAATCTGTATTGAACATCAAAATACCTTTATTGAGTATCATGTTCTCAATCATTGAGCATTGAAACTATATGTTCAAGCTCCAATCTAGTCATCGCAAGCTCCAATTTGATATGCAGTGGTAAACATGAGTTGCGTCGGCTAGAGGGAGTCAACGTGTCGCGAATAGGAGCTTCTTGTAGGGCACGAACATCTCGCCGTCTGGGTCCGAAAAATGAACCATCCATATGGGTGTAAGGAGCGAGTCGTAAGTCCTGGTGCTAGCAGTGAGTCATTCGTTTAGGGGCGAGCGGCGAACCATCCACGTCCCATCTGTGTCAGCAGTGATGAGCAAGTACTTCAACGAGGATATCTAAAAACCCAACTATACTGTGCACATGATACAACCGGATGTACAATATAATTTGTCAGTACTAGGATTTTAGACTATTGCAAGATATGAGGCCAATGAGGCCGTAGGGATGGATTCGGGCCGGGCCGGGCCGGGCCGGGCCCGGGCCGGGCCGGGCCCGGGCCGGGCCTAGGCCCGGTCGGGCCGCCGGTTCAAGAACAGTGGGCCCAGGACCGGCCCGAGGGTTGGACGGGTCCGGTTTGGGCCGGGCCACCCGCCCGGGTCACGGGTCGGGTCCGGTTCGGGCCGGTTAATTTTTTTTTTTAAAATTTATATTTTATAGTTTATAGTTTTATACGAGTATTAAAAACAAACTTCAATTGCATTTATTTGAAATGAAATAGGAACTACATTTGAAAATTAAAACAAACTTTAAGAGATAAACATTTTGAAAATTGTAATCAATCGGAACTTCCCGCACCTCCCGATCCTTTGGCTTTGTCACATGACTTCATATGCTTGATTGCCATCCCGAATCCGCCTGAAGCCCCCATGATACATTTTTTTTCGCACCATTTGCAAATTGCGTACCACATCCCGGTCTTCGGGTCCTTCTGCTTATCAAAATTATACCGTATAATGGCATTTTGATTTTCCATCTTAACTTCTTGGAGAAGAGAATTAGAGAGTAGATATATATAATAGATTGGAGAATAAGAGAATTAGAGAGTAGAGAGTTAAGAATAGGATTTAGGAAGAATTGGAGAAGAGATATGAAAAAATGTTTAAGAGTAGGAGTATTTATAGGTTTTTTTACCCCCCCCCCCCTACCAGCCAACCCCCCGGACCCCCCCTATACCCCACCCAACGGCTATATAGCCGTTTGGGTTGTCCCCAGCCCCACCCCCACGGCCTCAACGGCTAGTAGCCAAAAAACCAAAAAAAGGTTTTTTTTTTTTAAAAATTGACCCGGACCCGGGCCCGACCCGGCCGGGCCGGGTCACAAATATGATGAACCGAGCCCGCCCCGCCCCTTCCCCCCGGTTCGGGCCCATACCCGGTCCCGGACCGCCCGACCGGGCCGGTCCCGGGCCCGCACAGTGCCGGGCCGGGCCGGGTCACGAGCCGGGTGACCCGAACCGAATCCATCCCTAAATGTGGGTAGGCCGGTAGGGTCATTTTCTTGCATTTTGTGTTACTTCCTTTTTTTCATAATACAAAGTGGTCTCATATCTCAATAAGAACTCTATTAGTTATATTTCGGTCATGTTTTGTATATAATTTTATCGTATTATACACGAATGTACAAATTATCCTATTGTTCAGGAACCATATAATACTAACACAGTATAGGGGTGGACCCGTGACGGGCTTCGGCCCAGGCGGGCTATTTTTTTGGGAAAGGGTGAACCGGAACCGTCCCGGGTAGCCGGCGGTTCCGGGCCGGGTCAGGCTGGTCCGATTCAATGTTTTTTTTTTGTTTTTTGCTTTTCTAATTAATCCCTGACCCCCCCCCCCCCCCCAAACACCCAGCCCTACCCAGGGAAAACAAAAAAATTGAAAAAACAAAAAAAAAGTCTAAATTAAGGGCCTGTACCCGGCCCGCCCCAATCGGCCTAGGCCCGGAACCGGTTACCCTAGACCAGGCCGGTCCAGGCCCGCACAGTAGCGGGTCGGGCGGGCCGGGCCCGATCCATCCCTAACACAGTATATAAGAGCTAACTACATATTCAAGTTTACCATAAAAGAAACAAAATACTTGAATTGGATATTCACAAGACTAAAGAGATTAAGCTAGAGGTATCTCAATGCAAATCACCAAATCAAATAAACATATTATAACCCTAGAGATCTGCAACCCAAACGCATGTAGTTATGTTGACATACAAACCAGACATGTTACTCAAAACAACAGAAATTGACATTCCTAGCTCACTGTTGTCTTTTACAAACTTTAACACGGCGGTGTAATTTACAACTCATAGGGAAACCATACAACATGGCTTCTATATGCATGGGTCACAGTGATGTGGCCAATTGTTGTTGTTGTTCAGCAACTGAAGCCAACCCCCGCATTAATCTAACAATCTCAACGGTGTCGTCAACATAGTATTTGGCCTTGCTTGGCTTTTTTCCGACAGTACAAGCAAAGACTTCAGCGCAAGGTGCCATGGATGGGCTACACATCGAGTTCATGATCACCTCGAACATATCTTCATCTGACTGGTCATCTCCAATGCACAGAACAAAATCTGGGGCCATCCCTCTCTCTTGCATCAGCGAAAGTAGGCGTTTCGCTACAAGCCCTTTGCTTACACCCTGCCATATCTCAGTGATATGAGTAATAAAAACACCCTGAAAATCTTAATAGTGTCATTGATTAAGGAAGCATCATCCCTTTTCGGTTAATTAGGCTATTGTGGCAGCGGATACAGAGCAATCGGGAAACCGGGAGGTCCTAGAGTCAGAATGAATACTCCAGTAAATATTCTGTTGAAATTGACAAAGACTCTTTCCATGATGTTCTCATTCACAGCAAGTTGTTAGTTAGGAATAGAGATCAACAAATCATTTTATTAAGAATTAGGGTTCCTTCATAAAAGCTCAACCCTGACCTTATATGTTGGTTTAACACGCCCCACAACGGCCACAAGATAGTTACTTGTTGATCATACTATTCTTAAAACTTGTGCACTCTTTTTGAGTCTTTTGAACATTCTTGTACCATTCTTAAGGTTGTCTGCCTATTTTATGCGTGACCAATGTGGTCTCACTGAATACATGCTGTTCTAATGAGATCATGAAAATGGGATTTTAGGGTGGACATGATCCGGCTACATTCTGACCCCCCCCCCCCCCCCCCCCAACCAAGAACCAGAACCGGTAATGCCAGGATGGGTTCCAGGTCAGTTTGAACTAACAGAGTAAACCAGAACTTTTGTGCCTATGAGTTCATCGCTTTATTTTTAAAATTTGTTGCATAATCAATTGCATTTTCCATCACTTCCAATGGAGCTAAAAACTCACTATTTTTGGGCTTGGGAATATGGTGGAATAAAGCAAAATGGCTCATCCGCGCTTCTTTGTTATGAAGCAACAGTCAGTCCATGCAATTTTCGATGCGATTTTCATCATGAGTCATTTGGGAAACAGTCTCTCTGTGCTTGCTTTAGTACAGGGGTAAGACTGCGTACATCCGACCTCCTTTACCCCACAATAGGTGGGAGCCTTTGCCGCACTGAGGTAATGTCATCGTTGTTGCTGCAGCATAATCAAATGTTCCATTTAAAACTAGTCTACTTGTTTCAATATAGAAAATGTTCACATATTAGTACATGTGTATCAAATGTATTCCATCTAAACGCAATACATTTAGATATCTGTTCATTGAATAGTTGGCTAGAGAAGCAGTGACATTGAAAAAAATAGTTGAAAGCAGTTTGCTCATGGTGAAAGTTGAAATTGTGACATGCTTTGAGGTTACGATTAATGGGTTTTAGCAGTAGAATTCAGTCTAAGAGCTTGGGATTGCCGGCAGTATATTGAAGCTGTTAGATGAGATTCCTTTTTGTGAAAAGCTAGCACTAGTGGTGGATCCATCATCCTATCACTCCAACGGGTCTGAATCTATCCGCTATACTGTATTATGGATTTATGGCATTGCCACTCCCTTTGCCATTCACTGGCAAGTGCGGTAATAAACCGCGAATGGAAAGTGCTTTTAGAGTTTTAGTATGTATAATTGTCAACAATTTAATATACTCCATATATAATATCTGAACTCATTTTTATTATCACTCTCTAGGGACTTCAGCATCAAAAGGTGTCAAAGAGAAATGAACATTAATAGTATTTTCATCATCATCATTACCCCAGTGCCGCAAAGGCTACCTTCACTGGGGTAAGGGAGGGTCCGATGTACGCAGTCTTACCCTTGTACTAAAGCACAAAGAATTAATAGTATTTTATTGTAAGTTTAATTCATGCACTTTCAGCCTTTCACTAGTATTTGGTTATATGTTGAGCGGGGGTGAATTAGATCTTTTGAATGTTTTCACATAGGAATATAGGATGACTGAATTGAATTTTTAAGTATTACTCCCCTTGTCCTAAAAAAGAGACATGTTTGTAATATTGAAATCAATAGTACAACGATAGCTCTTTTTTGAGGATAGGGGTATTGAAATTCACCAAACTATTCTAGGTTTACATTTATTTAGTATTTAGAGTCCAGCACTCGATCCACATTCAATCTGACAAATCTACTCTTTGCATCAAGATTCTTATTCGTAGCATGTACGAGGGAGGGGAAAGACCAACACAAAATTCCACAATAACAATATCATGAACATGAATGCAGGCATGTTCAAAGAATAATTGAATCCACATTTCATTACAGATGGGAATGATACATGTTTGCGATGAACTTGGGACTAATACAACAACAACCACATCCAAGCCTTAATCCCAAAAGAATTTGGGGTCGGCTAACATGAATCGATCTATGATATCGATGCCAAAAAGAGAAGGCGGACAAGAAAATGAAAAAAAAAAGTAAGATAAAATGAATAAAATAAAGATACACATAAATATAAGATAACAATAACACAAGAATATAACCAAGATAAAAGAAAAATAAATAAAAGAGCATAAAAAAGCTAGAAGATAAAAATAACATAAGAATATAAAAAGGTAAGGACGATAAACGATAAAAGAAACAAGAGAGGAAAGGTAGACAAGGCATCAATCGTCCACATGGATGTGCGCCCTCCACTTTTCTCTCTCCAAAGTCATACTCTCATCCACATGGATGAACTTGGGACTAATGATCGAAAAAAATCCATAGTACTCCCTCCGTCCCAATTTGATGGTCTCATTTCTTTTGGGCACAAGTTTTAATAAAGTGATTGAAAAGGTAAAAGTTGTGGTTGAGATTTGAGTATAATAAAGTGAAATGATATGGACCACATCTTTCTTTCCAAAAAGGGAAACAGGACCATCATTTTGGGACATCCCAAAAAGGAAATACAGGACCATCATTTTGGGACGGAGGTAGTAACATATTTAGCAATGTCAATTGAATTGCTTGATAGTAACACAGAAGTATTGCAGCCATGTAGAAGTAACATTTTGGCTGAAGTTGCTGAAATTTAATGATATTATTTTCATTAGTTTATTAAGAAAATATTTTGCATTAATCATTTTATATTTGTATAATTGTATGGTTCACAACTTCAGCAACATTCACTTTACCCAACAGGCTCATACCTACTTACAAAAGTATGAGTTCTAAATACATTTATAACCATAAAAAATGGATTATAGCAAGACCTAGGTGTCTTTGAGGTATTCCAGGACCCACATGATGTCTATTAAACATTTAAACTGTCAAAGCGCTCCTTCAGGAAGCCAAAAAAGTGCTATTTGGGACACATGATATATAGTAATGAGGTCAAAGTCTATCGAGATAAGATTGGAGCAATGGACTAGACCACACCCGGTTCTATAACAGCACAATGGGTGCCTCAGGTTTTGCGGGGTGCTACTGCAAGTTCATTGAAATTATTTAGCAACTGTTGTGCCTTTGAAAACAAATCCATAGGCCTTGTTTTGTTCAGAGATTGAGAAGGTAAGGAAGGAGTTGTATTTAAGTTGTAAATAATATCATCCACAGCTCTAATTAATCAAGACAAATAGACAATTAAACATATACATACAAAACAGACGGTTTAATTAATCATATAGTTATTTCTAATTTAAAAGTAACAAATGGAGAAAATTTACTAAAAAAATCAATCCACTCAACCCCTCCGAAACCCCTGAACCAAACAAGCTCATACGTAGCATAACTTTCAGCGGATTGAAGGACACCAAACACTACCCTACAGCACACCGTTCTTACAACTGCCCGGATATGATGCCTCTATAGTAGATTTTGGAGCTATCTTACTGCCAGTGGTACATCGGATCGATTATTTCAGCAGAATGATTGCTGATTGGTGCATTAAAGTATTAAACTTGCACTCTGGCAGCTTACGAGAAGGAAGTGGTAGGCCTTGCCAAGGCGGTCACCCATTGGCGACCGTACCAGTGGGAACATCATTTTCTTTCAGACAGATCATGACTGGTTAAATAAGCTTATGTGCTTCAACTTCAATTGACAGCTCGTGGTGGGCGGACTGCATATAGACTTCAACTGCATGATGTCACCCATGTCTCCCTCAAACCCCTATGTGGAACCTCCATGAGGGACTTTCCTGACTGTGGGGCTCAATTTGTTACCCTCCGAGCTGCAGTGACCCTCTGCAGCCAGCTGCATAAGGGGGTGCTCTTGATCCAGTGGGTTGGCCACATCCTAAGCAGCTTGAAGAAACCTCCTGGTAGCAGATTGACACTATCCACAGTGAATTCCCAGACAATGAGCTTCGAGAAAAGCTCATTGCCAATGGGAAGAGTGATACGAGGATTCCTACCACAGAAGGTAGGTTCTGATTGGGTCCACCAAACTGCCAAGGACGATTAGCAGGCCAAGCGAGTCTTCATTATTTGCTATTTTCAGTTTTAGTTGGATTCAAATTATATAGTCTATGATTTGTTCTACAATCAGGATTCCTGCAATAGGTGAATAAACGACAACTTGCATGCCAAGAGAATTTTCATTATTTGCTATTTTCAGTTTTAGTTGGATTCAAATTATATAGTTCATGATTTGTTCTATAATCAGGATTCTGGTAATAGGTATATACCTATTGGACAGGGATCAGATTAAATCCGACTAAACCTTACTATTTACATTTTCTCTCTTGACTGGAATGCTCATCATAGATCTGAAATTGCAACTTTGTATCAGCTTTAGTTAGATTCTATGCAGTTGTTCTCGGCCTTGGACGAGATCTTGTAAGCACGTTCTTAACATTTTGATTGCCGGAAAAGATCCATCGGATTGGTTGTTTAGCATGTGAGCCCTATTTACTCAACGCCTAAACAGATAAACATGAAAAGGTTGGCAAAACATCATATCACATGATCGAGACTGCCTAATATTGGTTGATGAAAAGCATCCAAGATGACCGCAGTTTTTCATGACAGATGTTAAAGAAAGGGATTCCTTTCATATTGGTTCTCCAAAGAGCGTAGGACCCATCCAATGAGATTTTTTTGACATTACAGGTTCCCTTCATTTGGAAATGTAAATAGGTTACTTTCACATAGGAATCACACTCGTAATTGACTTCCCTACAAAATACGCAACCAGCCATCAGCACCATCAAAAAGGCACCACCACCAATACTTTTAAACATCTCATCTACTTTTCATGCAATATATGTAGGTATATGCAATGAGCTGGAGCCGTGTCAGCCTTTACTTGCCATGTCACAGGGAATTAGCTTGTCATGTCACAGTGGATTAGCTTGCCATGTCACAGAGGATTAGTTTAGTTGTTAATAATAAACAGACAAGGTGTTAGTCTGTTAGATTTGTTGCTACGTAAATTTCTGATGTATTCAACTTCTTGCTCAACGTTCATCCTATTTTGGAGCTGAATTCTAATAAAACGAGTTTTCTTTTTTGTTCAGCTTCTATTCTTACTTTAAATTCCTTCACTTAGCTTGGTATACTTGGTTAGTATATATGTCCAAGCGACAATCACTTTTGTAGAGATATATGTACTTGATCACATTCATTATATATATTTGATATTTACAGTATTACACATTGATGATTAACCATTTCGATTGTCAATGTTTTACTAATAATTGTGTTCCATTGGACTTATGTTGTCACTGAGTAAGTGAAAGCTTATGTGATATAACATAAAATCCTAAAATAGCCTCAATCAATGATATCGGGAAACAGATATTGATGATATGCGATAAGATTGGTACATGGACTGCATCATACTTTTAGAAAGTATAGTTGATCTCACAAATATGAGTGAGTTCCTATAATTCATGATGGTCACATAGGTATTTTAGAGAATATTGACATACCCACCAAGAAACCATTTGAAGTTCTATTCATGTGTCTATGAGATTATCGACGTATAGAGCGGTGCAATAGTCCTCCGACTTGAGGTCAATATGTACTTAATGTGCGGAGTGATGTGCTTTGACCATGACCAACGTTTGCACTCCAATTGGGGTAGACACGACATGTGCCAGGTGCATCACGAAGCACATGGGGTAGTAGTTGAGTAAAAAATGATTCATTCCTCATAATAGATTAAGAGAGAACATTCTACTCTTCATATCTAAATGGAACATAAAGCCAATGGCCAATGCAAAAATATATTCGTTTTGCATATTGAATATGATTGTTATGGATCATCTAGAAAGATAGATAGATATTATGTTATTTGAATAGACACAATATCAAGTTCTAGACTTAGCTAAATGTTCGTTGAATGAAAAGACTGTATCACAATAAGCTCTATATTACATGGAGTTCAAAAAGTCCTCATAAACGTCCTTATATAATAAGGTTGTCATGTAAATCGTCTACGGATTCTGCTAAGACCTAAATTTGATTAATACTTAATATATAAGGTTGTATGGGTCACACAACAAGTGATTATACCTTCTGATTGGATTGTTTTTTTATGGTCTACCGATTGAATTGTTAGAAGTAATTAAATATTAATTGGATTAAATAATATTTAATTCATAATATTGCAAATGGATTAAATATTAATTAGATTAAACTATATTTAATTCATGATGTTGAAGGAGAGTTCTATTTGATAGAATTAATTCATCATCATCATTACACCAGTGTCGCAAAGGCTCCCACCTACGGTGGGATAAGGGAGTTGGATGTACGTAACTTTAGCCCTGTACTAAAGCAAACAGAGACTGTTTCTGGATGACCCATGGTGAAAATCGCGTCGAAAATTGCATGAACCGACTGATGCTTCATAACAAAGAAGCGCATACAGTTTAGTGAGTCATTTTGCTTTATTCCATCATACTACGTATTACCAAGCCAAAAATAGTGAATCTTCGGTTCCATTGCAAATGATGGAACTAGGGGTGTAAACGAGCCGAGCCGAGCCCGAACTCACATATGCTCGAACTCAAGCTCGAAAAAATTTTATATGCTCGAGTTCGGCTCGAGCTCGATCGAGCTTAAAAAATTGAAACTCGAGTTCAACTCGAAAGCTTTACTTGAGCTCACGAGCCGCTCGAGATTGACTCGAAAGCTTAGCCATTTTATGAAGCTTTGATGGCATGTTGCTTGGTTGGTTCACAATTATTGGGATGGATATGAGCTGCTTTATAGGTGGCTGGTAGAGGAAACTACTCTCACTTTCCGGTGTGGGAAGCATAGAAATTAGAAACTAAAAACAAGTTTGAGTGTTGAAATCCGAAGGAGTACACAAAAGAATACCTTGGTGGGGATTCGAACCTGGGCTGCCTACGAATCCTACGAGAGCAATTCCATCCCGTCTACCAACATGTTTGTGTAAACTTTGATGTCAAATTCTTTTATTCTTATTCGCAGTGAACTAACGAAAAAACTAATACTTTTTTTTTTGTTTTTACGAATAAACTAATACTTCGTGTTATATATGTAGTATTATAATTATTATAGATAATGATTATAATAATATATAATGCTATATTTTATTATGTCTATTATAATATACGTAGTAATAAGTATTAAAAACAGAGTAATTCTAAATAGAATAACTATTTCAAAAATATTATATATATAATTATTATACAACATGTAGGCTCGCGAACCGGCTCGCGAGCCACGAGCCTAAAATTAAGAGGCTTGACTCGAGCTTGTTTAGTATACGAGTCGAGCCGAACTCGAGCCGAACTTGAATATGACCGAACTCGAGTCGAGCTTTTCCCGAGCGATCCACGAGCGGCTCGCGAACGGCTTGACTCGTTTGCACCCCTAGATGGAACCATTTGATAGAATTAATTAAGTAAGATAAATTAGATTTATCATACTTAATTAAGATGTATTTATAAATAAATAAGCTTGATATTTTCTTTGGTATAATTTAGAATTAAAAGAAATATAAACAAAATAATAATAATAAGAGATTAAGAAGGTTGGTGGCTGAAAAGCCCCTGCCTTGCTTATCTCTTTGATTATTTTAATGTCACTATTTACTATGATTAAATAAAGAAACAAAATTAATAATAGATTCATTAAAGAGAGAGAGGTGGCGTGAGCCCCTCCTCTTTCATTATTAGTATTATACTATTTTGTTTTTGTTAGGAATAGTATATGAATGCTACATGTGTATTACTTTGTAATTAGAATCTGTTAGGCTTCTGTTATGTTAGCTGTAGTTAGTTATGACTACACCTCTATAAATACTTGTAACTTTCTATTCTCAATAAGATGATTTCATTTCCATCTTCTACCTTGCTCCATTTCTAATATGGTATCAGAGCAAACAGGCTCCAAGGGCATGGTTTCACAAGCTCAGTTCAGTCTTATACAATGCTGGGTTCAAACAGAGCAAGAGTGATCCTTCTCTTCTTATATACCTAAAGCCTGGAATCCAAATTTACATCCGCATCTATGTTGATGACATCTTGTCATTGGCAATAATTTTACAGTTATCCAACACATCATTCAAACCTTACACTCTTCCTTTTCTCTCAAACACTTGGGAGACATAGATTTCTTTTTAGGCATCCAAGTCGGAAAGCTTCCTAATGGTTGTCTGCACCTTTCACAGGCCAAATACATCATAGATCTTCTTCACAAAGTTGGAATGACAGATTCTAAGGGTGTGAAAACACCTATGGTGAGTACTTGTAAGCTCACCAATGAAGGGACTGATTATCTTCCTGATCCCTCTCACTACAGATCTGTTGTTGGAATTCTACAATATGCTACTCTAACTAGACCTGAACTTAGCTATGCTGTAAATAAGGTGTGTCAATTCATGGCTAATCCCTTACAAGATCACTGGAAAGCTGGGAAACATATTCTGAGATATGTATCTGGAACTATTACTCATGGACTGATCATTAAACCTCTTCCCTTGACAAAAAACCTCTACCTATCTCAGGTTTCTGTGATGCTGACTGGGCATCAGATCCTACAGATAGAAAATCTACATCTACATCTGGGTCATGTATTTTCCTAGGCCCTAACATCATTTTCTGGTGGTCTAGAAAACAACTGAGGGTAGCAAGATCTTCAGCTGAAGCTGAATATAGAAGCCTAACAGATACTACATCAGAACTTTTATGGGTTCAATTTTTACTCAAAGAACTTCAAGATCCTTTTATCACTCCAAGAATCTACTGTGACAATCTCAGTACAGTTCAGCTAGCTCACAATCCTGTTTTACACTCTCGCATAAAACACGTGGAAATTGATCTTTTCTTTGTAAGAGAGAAAGTCCATCTCAAACAGCTTGAAGTCTTCCACATTCCAGCTTCCCAACAAATTGCAGATGTGTTGATCAAGCCTCTATCTGCTTCCACTTTTCTTGAGTTCAAGAGCAAACTGAGTGCGATTGATTTTCCATCTCAATCACCTTCAATTTGAGGGGGGAATGTTAGGAATAGTGTATGAATGCTACACGTGTATTATTTTGTAATTAGAATCTGTTAGGCTTCTGTTATGTTAGCTGTAGTTAGTTATGACTACACCTCTATAAATACTCTGTAACTTTCTATTCTCAATAAGATGATTTCATTTCCATCTTCTACCTTGCTCCATTTCTAATAGTTTTATCTATTTAATTAATAGTCCCTCTGTCCTATTCAAAGGTTCTCACTTTCCTTTTTTGGACGTCCTGCTTAAAGGTTCCCGTTTTCTATTTTAGGAAATAATTAACACTCTTAAATAACAATTTAATCAACAAATATTAAAAATAATACATTTAAAACATCACAATTATCATTAATGACTCATTATATTATATACTCATCAAAATAATTTCTCAAAATACACTCAAATTAGCATATTTAATTATTGTCTAAATAATCGTGCCATTTTGCCACGGAAACCTTTGAACGGGACGGAAGTAGTAATAAGTATTGGTCATGTTAGGACTATAACTCATTAATGAGTATTGGTCCTGGTAGATTTGGAACTCATTAATGAGTAAGACTTTCATTGTGATTGAAAATTTTATTTAAAACTAGTATAGATACATCATTCTCCTTCATAATTTATACACCAGTTTTTAAGATTCAATATTACCGCTTATTTCCCTGCAAAAAGATTTGTTAGCCTTTCTCTTTAAGGAGATCTAACAATTCTTTTGAAAAAAGAGAAATTACATGAATACCTAAGATCAAGGATTATCACTGCTAAGCTGGAAGATTTGTAAGTTCTAGCTTAGATATGTTATTATTGATATTCGTGACTTTGTCATAATCAGGAAAGATCTGTTCGGGAAAAATTTAAACTTCTACTGTTGTACTTTCGATACGTTACATAAATTTCCTAACATACTTCTCCGGTGTTTTCCTTAGAATTATACCAATCGGTATCAGTACAACGATCTGACATTTTTGCTTCTGCTATTAAAGCTTGGATAAAGCTTCGACATTCGTCATCTGACCAATTGGTTTGTTTTTGAAAAAATAATTCGCCGAAATCTAAAGAGGATGCAATATTCACTATTGGACATCTTATAATTGAATATAAATGGGAGTTTCCTGAATTTTATTACGAGTAAAGAAGATCCACTGATTTGGTTGTATAGAGTAAAAGCTCTATTTTATAAATGCCTACAGAGCTAAGTATTAAGGGTTGGCACAAAGGCATGCCGGATGGAGGTCTCATAACTAGAAGCAATGGCATGAACATTTGTGGGTAACTATTCGCACTAAACTTTTTCCTAGGATTTGCATGTCCAGTTCCCAATTCACCTCAGTTATACATAAAAAAAAGGATTGGCTAATCTTTTGTTCAATGCTCAACTTACATTCATGTTAATCATTCAACTTACTTGAAACAGGTACTCACATGGTATTGGGAATCCAAAGAGAGATAATGTTAATGCTTAATTTTGACGGAGATAGAGGTAAAGAGTGCATACCTGTGGCTTTACCTCAACAGTATTCTGTCCACTTTTAACTGTGACAGGTTCATTGGCAAGAACACTCTCAAGGTGATCCAGAAGTTCTTTAGCTTGACAAGATCCAAAATCGGGATCTGCATCCTCATAACACCAAACCATTGAAGTTTCCCTGTCTTCAATTGCTGATCCATCTGTGGTTTCAGTGTAGAGCTGCATTACAGGTTCCGCAATTTGTTTCCAGCCACATTCCATCAACGGCACACAAGTTTCCCAATCTTCTTCTCTATTTACCCTGGTAAAAAAAAGAGATTTACATAGCTCCTAATTAAATTTATTAATACAAAACTCATCTTCCACATCTTCTTTACCAATAAGGACAACAATTGCATCATGACACTATTAGTAAGTGTATCAGTACTGCCACCTCCTAAGATGGTTTCTACTGTTTAGTGCTACTGCCAATGATGGCAGCTACTATCTAGTGCCTCCCCCAGTTGGTGCTGTTTGGCAACGTTTTTGGCTGCTACATAATAATGTACTATCCTGCGTTCTTTAATTCTTGCAACACTTTGACTTTCATCTTTGCCAACGCACAACTTTGACTGTAATTATATTTAATTACGTATTAGTAAACATTATAAAAAGTTGATATTTTGGAAATTCACATTGATAGGAATTCAAAAACATTATATACGAAATAATTTGATTATGTATATTAGTAGAAAATCGTGGTCAAAGTAACGTATGTGAATAGTGCAAAAGCCACAATGTTGCAAGAATTAAAGAACGGAGGAAGTATTTATTAGTATTAATTAGGTTGTCTAATTATAGTAGGAATCCTAATGTATCTTGAACTCCTATTATAAATACACTTCTAGGGCTACCATTCTGGTAAGCCTCCACATTATTTTCACATGGTATCAAGATCCCTAAGGTTTTAATTTTTTTAGTCCAGCACAGCTGTTGATGGTGACTGCTACTGTATTACATGACGTCAGTGGTGGCTCCTACTATTTGGCGCCTCATGCGATGCCTACTGGTAAGTGGTAAAGTCTAGAGCCGCCACCGACAGTGGCTGCTCATGACCGACAATGTTGCCCGTGACACCAGAGGTAGTAACAATACCGCTACTGCACGACTGGACTTTGTACTATGAGGTCTAGTTTAAAAGTTAGTGGGGCAATTTGTAAATAAAAAAATTTCAGATAGTTATTGTAACTTTTTCAAAGAAATACCTATAGTCACTCTTAAAGAACTAATTTATTCATATCATAAAACTGATAAGTGGGTCAGTGGGTGAAGCATACATGCCTGAAGAAATAGCCATGCTCAGCAGCAATTCCGAGTTTTTCACACGATGAAAACCATTCATCCATTTTGTCTCGACCTCTAGCACTCACGATGAAAACCATATTGTTCTTATCTCTACTCAACATGTTGAGAATCTCACGGGTTTTAGCACTCGGTTTCTTGTCAATTGTATTTGACGGCATTAAAGTGCCATCATAATCCAATAGGATTGCGCGGTTCGTCGTCTTCTTATACGCCGAAACTATGTAATCCATTGCAAGTTTCCTGAAATTCGGATCAAGTGCAACTACCCGAAACTTCAAGCCAAACCCAATGCCCCAACATCTACGTCTCGCGTGATCCTTGCATGCTCTCTCTAAATCAGTCAAGAAACTACGAGCCCAATAGCCCACATCATGTGTGCTAACATACTTGTAGTGTTTATCATGCCTAAGCTGTTTTTCAGGCTCAGACATTACCAAGGCAGTGTCCATGGCATCTGCCACTGCATCAATATTCCAAGGGTTTACTCTGATGGCTCCACTTAACGATGGAGAACACCCAATGAACTCAGATAAGACTAGCATGCTCTTCTTTGCAGCAGGCGAGTCCTCTTGTCTGAAAAACTTTTCCAGGTTCTCATTTCCCTGACGGCTTATTACGTACTCATAAGGTATGAGATTCATTCCATCCCTAACTGCAGTGACCAAACAACACTCTGCAACCACATAGTAAGCAACACGTTCATAAAATTTCAGCAGCTGATCAATCAGGATAACAGGCTCGTACCCAGGCATCCCAAACCTTTCATTAACCCGTTTCACAGTAGAGTAAGTCTCTTCCTGCACTTCCTTCACGTCTTTCCCTTTACCCCTAGCAGGATTGGCTATCTGCACCAAAACCACCTTTCCTTGCTTCTCTGGATGTTGAAGAAGTAACTGCTCCATAGCAAGTATCTTCAAACTTATGCCTTTAAAAATGTCCATGTCATCAACTCCCAAAAGCATAGTCCTTCCCTGGCCGTTGAATTGTTTTACGAGCTCTCCAACTTTGACAGCGGTCTCCGGAAGACTAAGGACTCGCTGGAGCTGCCCCATGTGTATGCCAACCGGAAGAATTTTAATACTCACAGTCCGACCGTAATACTCAATGCCTATGTAGCCTCGTTTAGACTCGTATGATAGCCCTAACATCCGGCTGCAGCAGGAAAGGAAATGCCTTGCATAGTCGAATGTATGAAAGCCAATCAAATCAGAGTTTAAGAGACCCCTTAAGATCTCTTCCCTGATTGGCAAAGTCTTATAAATCTCTGATGAGGGGAATGGGCTATGCAGAAAAAATCCAAGCTTTACTCTATTGAACCTCTTCCTCAAGAAGGTGGGCAGTATCATGAGATGATAATCATGAATCCATACAAAATCATCTTCAGGGTTAATAACCTCCATGATCCTATCAGCGAAAATCTTGTTCACAGAAACATAGGCCTGCCAAAGATGACGGTTGAACCTACCACCAAGATCAGGTGATAAGGGAAGCATATAGTGGAACAAAGGCCATAGCTGCTGCTTACAAAACCCATGGTAGTGCATAGTGTACATATCAGGAGGCAAGAAGGTTGGGACACATTTGAAAGTTTCAAGTAGTATCTGTGAAACCTCATCTTGTTCGTTTGGATGAATCTCCTCTTTTAGACAACCAACATATATCACCTCCATCTCATCATCACCCAACCCATCTTTCAACTGGAGGAGAAGCGAGTTCTCATCCCAACTGAATGTCCAACCATTTCCGTTGTCAGTCTTCTTCTGCCCCCTTATAGGCAGCTGGTTAGCCACAATGATGATCCTGTCTCTATGTGAAGAAGACGAGGATCGATCAGAGCACCCACTCTCGGGTGCATCATCATCCAAATCAGACATGATCCCAGCCACTATACGTGGAATCCGCCGGCTCATCCGACCAAAGGACGGAGATAGAGTTTCCCCGGAGGCCAACTCTAATAGGTTCGAATACGATCTGGACACCATTTCACCTTATTACACCAAACCAAGATCTTTCCTTTTTCTCTCTCTCTCTCTAATCTACCATATGAAGAAAGAATCTACTTCCCACCACACTAACTAAGATAGAACCATATTCTCTTATGGGTGCCAACAAAATCAAATCAGGAAGGGTCTGCAAGGAATCAGCAGCTGTTGGTGGGAAACAAGATATGTACCCTATAGATAAACAAAAACATAGAATAAAGTAGCACAAAAAAGAGAACAGATTCACACCCAAAGCACAGCTCAAATAGAGTTTTTCCACTGTAGCAAAGATTTCAGTACAATAAAAAATCACGCCTTCAAAGCTCAGCTCAATAATTATCAAGTAAAGTTTTCAGAAGAAAAAGAAACGCAAAGAGAGGGACAACTCAAAAAAAGAAACTATTATAGCTTTGAGAAATCAAAAATGAGTGAATAGATTATTACCGGTTCTTGACAGTTGGTGTAAAACCCTGGAGTGAAACAGAAGATAGTGATGGGGAAAGGAGACGATCTGAAGATAGGACGGAGATAAACTCCTAGGCACTTCTCCACTTCAGTCATGCTTCATCAGCTAGCTAGTGTACTTCTGGTCTTAACTTTCTACTGCGGGTGGACTGAAAATATTACTCCGCAATTAACTATTAACAATGGGTACTACATGAATTAGGACAGGATTTGAAATAATATTGCACGTTAATTCTATTTTTGTTTTGACAAATCTAATTATTATATGATTCATTTCATTATTTATGCAAAAAAATATTATTTTCTAGAAGGATTTTTCCTTTTAACCCTGCAATTTATCTTTATTCATTTATACTCCCCGTCCCAAAAAAAAAATCTAACTTTCCCTTTTAGGCCGTCCCAAAAAAAATCCTCCAACTTACTAAAAAAGGAAAGCAACTCATGATGAAAATCCTATTTTGCCCTTCCCTTTTTAATCGCCCTTCCACATCCCCCTTTTTCATTTACCTGATCTGCATCCCTCTCTCTCATTTAATACCACTGCCTCCCTCTTTCTCGTTCATTGCAACCATCTCCCTCTCTCAATTACTCTATCTTTCTCCCTCTCTCATTTACTTCAACCGTCTCCTCCTCTGTAATCTATCTACCCTTCCGCCTCCCTCTCTCACAATATTTAGGGGCGGATCTACTCTCAAGGTAATGGGGGCACTTGCCCCCAATAAACTCCATTTTTTATTAAGTAATATAATAATTATATATCCACGCACAAAAATTTGCCCCCATTAAATATTTTGTGATGCCCCCCAAAAATAATTAGATTACCTCATATTCTGGATAACATTTTATGTTACTAAAGCAACCATATATAACTATAATTGTGTTTATTTTATTGTTCGAAGCAAATTAAATTGAGGAAAGTCAAGTAATATAAACTTATGAGAAAATAAAATTGATGTGTATAATGTATATAACTGAATCTAAATGAGATAAAATGAATTTAATATAATTTAAATGATGTAATTTTGTCAATGTTAAATGCCTAAAAAGAGGTTTCAAAGTTCAAACAATATTCAAGATAAAATTAGTTTAATCATAAATAAAGAGTAAATAAATTTTAATTAAACGTGAATGAAAGAATCTTTTTTTTACGCAAAAATATTATTAGGATAGTATTTGACAGATGTTGTTTAGTTTATATGACATATTATTAATGAAATTTAGCCCCTTTTAATTGCGTAGTTTCAGAAGTTAGCAAATTAGTCATGCAGGAATTTGTTTGGTAATTTTGACTTGTTTGATTTAATGATATTCATTATTAACTCTTAAAATCAATAAAAAGGAAAAAACATATAAAAAAGTACAAATGAAATGAGATATCAAGTGAATTAAAACAATATTTAAGTTCATAAATATGAATATATTTGTTTTATTCTCAAAATTTGACCCATTCACTCATATTTTGGAAAGTTTTAATTTTTTATTATTATTTTAATAGGACTAAATAAATAAGTCCTATTTAGAGAGTAAAATATACTTAGTAATATTTTTGAATTTTATATATGGTTTGGTACTATATTGAATTGAACAATTCCTAAATAAAATGCATTAGAAGTATTAAGTTCCTACTTTAAAAAATCACTAGATATATAAAATCTAGTACTCCGTAATTTATATGCTAAATCATAAGCATAACTTATATGCTAAATCATAATTATACATTGTACTAAGTGTGTCCCGCTCAACTTTGTCAAATACTATTGTAATACTTCCTAAGTCTCTTAAAACTTTGGCAAATTTGCTTTTATGGTTGTCCCACTAACTTTGTCAATTTCCCTTTTTAGTAAGGAATTTGTGATTTCACATAATTCTCTTTACTTTGCAAAACTTTGTCAAATTTGCTTTTATGGTTGTCTCACTAACTTTGTCAATTTCCATTTTTAGTAAAGAATTTGTGATTTCACATAATTCTCTTTACTTTGTACAAATCTCCACCACACATATTTTATTTTATTAATTCTCGTGCCGGTCAAACTTGACAAAGTTTTAAGGGACGGAGGAAGTAGAATAGTAAAAAATGTGTGGTCGAGATTTGTGCAGAAGAGAGAGAAATAAATAGAGTCACAAGTTCATTGCTTTAAAATGAAAGTGACAAAGTTCTTCAGGACAAATAAAAAAATAACGTTAACAAGTCCAGTGAGACAGACAGAATATAAGACAGCGCGCCCCCAATACATATTTTTCCTGGATCCGCCACTGACAATATTCATTATTGTGAAGCGGACGATTTGGATCAAACCCTTACTCCACAACTTACCCCTTCAATCGCAGACCCTGTATCAAACTTCCATCTGACCTGCATGGATCAATACTCCCCGAAAGATGATGACCTGTTGTTAATTCCGAATAGTGAAGACGATCTTGCAAAGGATGTTTACGAGAAGCTGACAAAGGTTGTGGCGGAGAAGTAATCGTCCCTGATAGTGAATATGTTCGTGTCCCTGATGATGTGGTGGCGATGGAGATTCCAGAGGCTGTGGCGGAGACGGTGGACCCTAATCTGCTTAAAAGACACAGAGAGACCGACATGCACCCTATTCGGAGAAGTCCTCAGCTGGAAGAGTTCCAAAAACTAATGATACCCAAATGGGAAATGAGGATGTGGGACGTCGACACATATTAGGGGAGTTTCTTGTTTACCCTATCTTGGTTTATGGTTTAATTCGTATTCTGTGTCCTAATTGTATCTTTGGGGGAAGCAATGATGAAAAATGGTTATAATGATGTTTAATGTGATGTATGTGGTTTGTAAATGGTTGTTTGGTCTGACTACTAGTAGTTACTTCATGGTGTGATTACCATTTGGACTGCCTACTGGTTCTTTATGCATACTGTGATGAAAGTATCCCTTCTGTGTACTGGTTCTTTATGCATACTGTGATGAAAGTAGGAGGTTTGTGTATTGGTTCTTTATGTGTGCTATGTTATGATGAAAGACCATATGCCTGTGATATGGTAGTTATGCATGTTGTGATGACCATGTGCCTGTGATATGGTAGTTTTATGCATACTGTGATGACTATAAGCCTGTGATATGGTACTTTAGTCATACTGTGATGACCATAATGAATGTGTTCAAGTTTTTGTTTATGCATACTGTGATTAAAGTATTTTTTGAATGAGTTTTTCTACATATAAAGTCTGAGTATCATTGTAGTTGTACCAAAATGATGAAATAAGTATGACCATAAGGTCTGAGTATGCTTCTACTGGTATAAAAGGTCTGAGTATGCTTCTACTAGTACAAAACGTCTAACTATGCTTGTACTAGTTCTAAATGTCTGACTATCCTTGAACTAGTATAAAAGGTCTGCCTATGCTTCTATCCATAACACTTAAGGCATGTACAAAAACACAAAAATTGAAGGCCTATACAGTTCAACCCAATATCCCAAAACAATATAATACAATAGATGTACTTCATAACTGAACATGATCATCATCGTCATCATCGTCAATTATGAAGTGCCCCTGAGTTTCAGTAATTGTGTCATCACTAAGCCCTGCTTGTTGCCCTACAATTTGTTTTGTGGCTTCCAAAAGTTCCACATCCACCTCTATGGTAATTGGAAGCCTCCCTTTTGTGGTCATCCTATCATTTGCATGATGTGGTAGCTTGTAGTTGTTCCCTCCATCCACTTTCATTAATTCTAGCATCACATACTCTGATAGCTTAACTACACTTTGTTGAGAGTCATAGGTGATAGTTGGTTGAATGCATCATCAACTGCCTTTAATAGTTCATCAACTGCCTTGGGTGCATTTTGGTCTTACAAAAATTGTATTGCCCTAAAAAACCCTAGGTCTAGTATGTTAAGGTTTGGAGAATTGGGTGGCTGGTCAGTAAGGGTGATACTAAACCCATCGGCCATGGAAGCAGCCATATAATCTGCATCACTATGTGAAATGTGTGGCCTTACGTTGTCTTGTTGTATTATGATGTCTTTGCTTAATTGTGGAGGCCACTTTGCCTTGATTGTTGGGAGGACTGTATTGATAAACATGTCCTTGAACACTTGCTTTGTCATGCTAAGTATAGGCTTTGTTTCCATTACACTTGCATCTCTGTTTTTGCTTCTTCTTTTTGTTGCAACCTGTTCAACAAATGGAAACATGCCTATTTTTCCATCCCAAATCCTTCATCACTTTCTGAAAATAGGGGCCTACCTACTGCTCCTAGGGACATAACCTTAGTTATGAACCTCTTAGACTTGCAAACTCTGTGTGGGTCAGTCTCTTCCAAACCCATGTAAAACCATTGAGAAGTTTTTGACATGAAAAACCATTTTCATTAATGTGCATCACATTTTGAAAACTTTGAAAACTTGGCTTCTGTGGCAATGATTTGTCAACCTACCTAACACAGAACTTCAGTCTTTCCAATTTATTTGCATCACTTAAGAATGACTTTATTGCATTTGTATGACTTCTAAGATGACCTCTACGAACGAATCTATAATAGTAGAATTTGATATTGAACTGGCAGATACTAATGACCTTATGTTAGTCCTTTTGTACAGTGGGATCTCTGATATGTGGGATAGATCAAATTCTATCCTTTTCTGCCAGATTTTTCAGACCACTTCATGCGCACGTCTGATCTATTGTATCGCCTTTTTACTAGGGCTGGCATTTTAGACCGAAAAACCAAAAACCGAACCGAAAAAAACCGAACCGCTTTGGAAAAAAACCGAACCGAACCAAACCGATTGAAAATGGGACCCGAAAATTGGGACCCGATAAAAAACGGTTCGGACTCGGTTTATATTCCTAAAAAATCGGTTCAAACCGAACCGAACCGACAATTTTTATATTAGTAATACTAATAATTAATGACAGTTTAATACAAGTATAATATTATTCCGAGTACGAATTGGACGTATTGGACTAGT